AGAGACCTGTGGTGCTGCCCAGCAAGGGCAGGGACTCAAGAAGTCTTGCTGTGGCAATCTTGGGACACCTGGCACCCAAGAAAGTGTGTTTAGACCAAGTGTGGGTGCCTTTAGGAGCTGGCACCGCTCCTGTCAGAGCGGTACAATCTCTCAACCCTCTCATGGTGTCCCTGCCCACGGCAGGGTGTTGGAACCAGATGGTCTTTATGGTCCCTTTCAATCCAAACCATTCTGTTCATCACTCCAGCCCAGCTCTGCTCCCTGGGCAGGGAGCTCTTGGCTGAGCAAACCTGACTGTGCCCACCCAGCAGCAGCCCGAGGCCTGGGGAGGAGCGGGAGGTGTAATCCCAGCTGAGCTGGAAGCTGTGTTGATGTGCCTGTACCTGGCTGTCTGTAAGCTGTGTGTGTGTGTAAGTTGTTGTATGTGTGCATGTGAGCCCACAGGACGCCTCCCTCAGGAGGCTGAGGGGTGGGCTCATGCCTTTGTCCCAAAATGTGGCGTGAACCAGAATTCAATGAGGCTCCGACGTGCCTGGAAAGATGCAACGAGGCTTGAAGGCTTGGGATTCCACAGGGAGTTCAGGGCAATGCAGAGAAGACAAATAATTCATGTGCCTCCACGGGTCTCCATGGGAGGGATAAATTAACACCACGAAGGGGTTCATATCCATATGGGGCTGGGGGCTCTGGAGCTGAATCCAGTCCTTTATCCCCCCATAATACACAACCCCTCAGTGATGCCTCTCCATCCGCTTCAAAGCTCATTGAGTATCTTTTCTTTCTGCTAAGGAAGGAGGAATTTTAGGCACTGGAGCTTTGTCTACAGCAGTCAGTCCATCAGCATCATGCCTGGGTGTTGAACCTCATGCTGCCCAGGCAGTGAAGGTTTGTTTGGGTTCTTGGCCTCTGGACAAGACAACCAGCCACAGTGCCATTTAGTTTACTAGTAAAGAAATAGCCTTATTTCCCCATGGACATCTTGGAAAAAACGAAAACAAACCACCTCATCAAAATTCTTCTTTGTTTACTTTTTTAATAAAAATAAATCCATTCGTGTCCCACATGTTGATTTTCAGAGGCATTTTCAGTCAAAATATAGTAATGATGGGTTTTTAGTGAAAATAATGCCTTGGAAGAGGGGATTGGTTCTTTCTAGGGTCAAATAGGGTCGAATAGAGTTGATACAGGGTGGACCTGCCTTTGGGCTCTTGTCTGGTGGCCCAATGCAGGAGTTAATACAAGCACAGTCTGAGGAGGTCATTACACGTGGCATTAGAAATATCAGATGTCTGAGTTCCAGACATGTATTTTCTGCATTGAGGGGGATGGGGGATGGTTATAACTGCCAGCTGTTTGTTGAAATGCACAATTTTTTAATTATAAAACTCTGTCTGTATTGATTTCTGCCTCTGGTCTCTCACTGTGTTCTATATCTCCAGCTCCAGCCTGGTGTGTTCGAGGATTACAGGTGTGGAAGGTTTCCAAGCAGGTTTTTGTATCCACGCACGGCTCCATCAGCATTTGCTCCACTTTGCAAATGGAGGGGGTGGGAGGAAGTAAAGGTGGGAGCACTTATTGCATATTTGGGCAAAAATGTACATGAAAAAAAGCCAAAAAAAAAACCTCACTCTTTTACGTTTTGTGTTATTCAGCCACTGAGTGAAAAGTGGGTCCAGTCACTTAAAAAATATATCAGGTTAGGGAGGAAAAATAAATAGAAATATGTCTGATTTTTGCTGAACTTTGTTTAAAAAAAAAAGTCATCCACATGCGGGGCCAGCCTTAAGAAACATGAGTACAGGTCACTGCTCCCACCACAGAATTCCCAGAAAGGAGCCTCCATGTCTCAGCTGTCTGCAATGAGATGATTCATCCCCTCGAGTTCTGGTTCCTCTCCTTGTACAAGTGGCTCAGAGCCACATTCCCTTTCCTGAACGACCTATAATGCCTGTAGAGAAAGGCTGGTGGAAATCAATGTTGATAATTCTGGGGTACATCCTGAAAATGCCCTTCAATGTTACCAATATGTGGGCCAAAAAATCAAAGCTGTGGTACCTCCATCTGGAGCACCACTGGTTGCTGCTCTATCAGTTTGAAGCAGGAATCTTCTGCACATTGATTCAAGGGTTGTCCACAGCCACCCATCAGGGAGACCCATTCCTCGCTGAAAACAAAGAGCAGGTTTGAGACCAGTCCGTGGGAATAATTACCTGCATTTTTATTTTTGATGGCCAGACTGGAAAACCATGGATTTCTCCAGGCTAAGTAGAAGATAAAATTCCAGATTATCTTTTTTGTGCCCCAAAAAGCTCAATCAAAATTTTAGGTGGGGGGAGTCAGTCCAGCGTTTTAATTGGATACATTTTGCTTTTACTCAAAACTTAAATACTTCACTTAAAATTCTTCTCTTAGGAGGAAATTCTTGGCTGTGAGGGTGAGGATGCCCTGGCACAGGTTGCCCAGAGAAGCTGTGGCTGCCCCTGCATCCCTGGAAGTGTCCAAGGCCAGGTTGGACTGGGCTTGGATCAACCTGGGATAGTGGAAGGTGTCCCTGCCCGTGGCAGGGAGTGGGATTGGATGGTCTTTAAAGTCCCTTCCAACCCAAACCTTTCTGTGATTCTGCAAAAATAGTTCTAAAAATCTTAAATTACAACTGAGACATTAACACTTCATTTTCATTCAAACAGTGCTTTGCAATGAACAGCCAAAAAATTTTCCCTGAAATAGCCTAAGTGAAGCTTTTCCACCTCCTCTTTTGCACTGAGTATCAGCCACTCTTCCAGTCAGACCCAATCCCTGAAGTTTTAGCCAGCCCAAAGGTCTGTATTTTTCAGCATGAAGGAAATAGTTGAAAATTAATTGGCCCAGCTTGATTTCTGACTTTCTTTGGGTCAATTAAGAGGGAGCACAAAGCAATTTTACACATTTTACCTCATGGTCAACTGGCCTCTCTCCCTGGCACTGTCTGACCCGACCTACTAATGGGCAGGACCTTGGTCCTCTGTCACAGCCCCAGTGCAGAAATGATGAAAAGGGTCATTGTTCCCAGGAAAGTGTCTCATTCCTCACTCTTTTGGCACTGGGAAGTGCTATCACATAATCAATGAGTGTTTTGAAATCTCCCATAGAACCTTAATTAAATTCGGTGGAGACACCACCACAGAAATGCCACATTTTACACCAGGAAAAACAAGGAATGACAAGTTTAAGGACTTAAAGACTGCATTTTCAAATGGCCTGTGGTGCACAGTACTTCAGCTATCACAGTTTAACCTCTTTTTTATATATATATATACACATATATATGGGGAAAAAAAATCCCAGCTGGAGTATTCGTAGCACCTTGGGGGTTTATTTCACAGACTGACGCTGTCTGCTGAGTGGGTTTTATTTTACATCAAGGAAGACAGAAGGAGGGGGAGGAAAATAAAGGCTTGCAAGGAGGAGGTGGCAGGATACACACTGAAACCAGACCCAGACTCGCTTCCCTCGCTGCACGTTTTACAACCAAGTGCTGTGTCTGAGGGAAAGTCTCAAGGGAGCGAGACATCCCAAAATCCCAGGGGGGAAATCACCCCTCTGGCATCACTTATAAACCAGATGGCATCCAAAGGAGCTGTGCAGGAGCCCAAAGGACCAGCAGCACCAAAAGATGTGCAAACCACTCCTAAAATCCTCACTTATCTCTGTGTGACCTGGAAAGCTGATCAGCAGCAGGAGCTCCGTCCCCTCTCTGGGCAGGAGACACCTCTGAGCCTCAGATGATCATGTGAAGCTGAACTCCCAGCTGCAATTGGTTGGATGTGGAATTCAAGGTAAGCATTGATCGAGTTTGGGGAAAACTCTTGATTTTAGGCTTTCATCTCTCATCCTTTCAGACTATTTTATGAAGAAGGACCAAGGGGAAGACCTGCATTTACCCATCATTGAGAGAAGCCAAGACCCAGACTTGACCCATCCTTGCAAAAGGTGGATAGTACAAAGTCCTTGTGGTCTGATCCTTGGGGCAGACAAACCATCCTGGTCACTGTTCCCTTCAACACTTAAACGTCTTTTTAAATGCTATGGGGCAGCACTGTGAGAGCTCTGCAATGCCCAAACCCAGGGAAGCTGTGGCTGCCTCATCCCTGGAATTGTCCAAGGCCAGGTTGGACAAGGCTTCCACCTGGGATAGTGGAAGGTGTCCCTGCCCATGGCAGGGGGTTGGAACAAGATGGTTTTCAACGTCCCTTCCAA